GGGAGAGTTGTTGTGAGGAAGATAGTTAATATCTTATGAATAAGACATTTGGCTATGAACAGGTACTTTAGGAAGTTCAAAGGTGGCGACTTGTTCAAAATGGAAAAGCCTTTAGGAGAAATGTCATTGCACATGCCTTCAATTGGTTGTGGAAGATTCCCAAAAGGCTCAAATGCATTATTGTAGGAGCAATTTTCAAGGTGGGATGTTTGATAGTTGAAATCAAAGATTTATTTCCATCATACTTTACAATCCATTTTTGGACTATTCGTTTTCCCCCCTAATTACCTTTGATTCGACGGCTATGATTCGAAGAGGCTCTTGATCTTTGTCGTTGATTGCGTTTCCCTTTTCCCGACACACCATTGTTGCACTTCGAACTTGATGAGCCTATCTGATGTGGGCCATCATTGATCCTAAGCACCCGCACTAGCTCTTTCCTAAAAGTGTGAGCTTCATTTACCTCGAGGACTTTTCCATCAATAATGTTAACTTCTTTGAATGAATTTTTAAGTCAAACTCGCCTAACTTTAGGATTCCCTGACTTGGAAAGTCCAATCCTTTAAGCTCAACCAGAAAAATAAGGGAATGATAAGAAGTCTTATTCCAATCAATTTTAATTAATCGACCGCACAAATTTACAATTTCTTTAAAGACTTCTGTGGAACAGGCTATAATAGGGATACCCGATACAGAAAACCAAGCAGATCGAGGCTTAATCAGGGAGGGCTCTAGAGCAGGGACCCACTTCTCTGCCACCAAATCACATCCTTGGAATCTCCAAAACTTCTGATTTGTACTTTACTAGCCTCCTCTCGTGTTCCAAGAAAACATATAAACCTTCCACATGGGATAGATCTGCACAAGCTTGGGATTTTTGTCCATGTTTTCTTGAAAAGCATCTATATTATGAAACTGTTCTTTGAATGTACCAATCACCGAGGCTTGATTCCTTTTCTCTCTTTCTAGAATCACATCATCCCTAACTAAGACTAATGGATTCCTATGAAAGGGAGAACTAACAGATGTTCTAAGGATTTGAGCATAGGAGGGACCTCACGAACTCATGGCTCCTTAAGATGCTCTAATACACATCACATATCTCTACAAAGGCATTTCAGCATACACTTGGCTCTCCTTTCCTCCCCAACCCTCCAACACATTACCTCTTACCCTCTCGTCATATGCACCATCTTCCCAACCCTCTCTCTCTCTTACTCCTTCACTCCATCACCCCATCTTTCTCCCTCTATCCCACTTTCTTCTCACATTCTTCTTCCTTAAGCAAGCTTTCTCTCACTTGTTGAAACCCCAAGCCTACCCATTCTCTCTAACACTCAACTTTCTTACTCTTAGCACAGCCACACACCAGCTAGGTTTGGAGATTTCTTTTCCTCTCTCTCTCTCTACAACTCACGCCCAACACCTACCTATTAATGCCTCACCAAGAAACCATTGATGTTGCCTTCAAAAGACCCAATAACACGTCATCTCACACCATTCTGTTTTGCTTCTGTTTCTCTCTCTCCTACCAGGTCCGAGACATGGCAACCATCAAAATGAGTCTTATGCAGAATCCCTCCACATTTGGCAAACCCCTTCAAAATCTTCCCCAAATTGTGCCCAAAATCTTCCCCACTCCTTACTCTCTCTCTATGATGCAGACTTGAGGAACTCTTGTATGAGTTTTACCTCCTTAGCAATTGTTCCCTAAGCTCATTAGGGGTTCGGCCCTTCAACCCAGCTAATATTGGCCAATCACCTCCAAAATTGTGTGGAAGCATTTTAAGCGAGCAGCACTGCAAGCAATACATGTCTCCGCCGAGCAATCTATTAACATACCTAGCCTGACCTTCTCTTTCGAATCTGATTTCAACAGTAACTTGCTCCTTCCATTTCTCCCTATCATGTACTGCAGCCTAGAGGTCCAGGAGAAAAAGGGCATCTATAAGCCCTTGCATATAAGGCTTCTTAACCCAATTGATTAACTCTTACGACTTCAAGAGGGACCCACTTCAATATCCCTTCATTATTTCCTCATCCCCAACCATACTAACCCTGACCTTCAACTCTGTTGCGCTTGCCTCATATGTTGTTTCTTTTTCTGGAATCCAAATATTCATTTATCTCCTTCCAATTACCCGAAGGAAATTTGTTCAAGTGGCCAACAACACCCTTAATATTGGAAAGGTGTTTTTAAAATCTATTAATACACCCATTTTTATTGTGCCCAATACTTGAACCAAACTTTATTTTGATCATTTTTATCCGGGCAATATGCATATTCCCACCCGGGATCACTACTCCTATAGGAAGCCAAAGAAGACATGGCAAGAAATCTGAAAAACAGAGAAATTTCACAAAAAATGACCAACATTTGTTGCTAATCTCAGATCCTCGATGTTTTGGATCAATATCAAGCTTTAAATCGACCAAAATCTCCTCATAAAAAACAATAACCTTTCTTGATATTCCAAAATGAATCAAATCCAAAAGAAATAGGATTTGAAATGGTTTCTCAAGTGTCTCAATTTTTTTTTTTTGTGAGGAAAAAGTCTCAGTTTTTTCAATCTTAAAACATTCAAATTCAATTTTTTTATGCTTTTCTCAGAAGAAAACTGTTAAGGAGGCAATTGAGAAGGAGACAGGAGAAAAAGAGGAAAGAGGGGGGAGGGGGTGGCAGGTCATTGTTAACAACACCCCATCTACACCCCCCCAACTCACAATTAAAAAAAACAAAAACGAAAGAAAAAAAGGATATTTTCCACCCTTGAGTCATGGGTTTGCAACAAGCACCTTAGATGAGGCACAAGGTGCCCACCTTGGGTTGAGCCACCTAGCCCTACACAAGGCCCTAGGCCTCACCCCTCCTCAAGGTTGCCACCGAGGTGCCCGAGGCGGGCACTTTTTAAAGCAATAACTAGGTGTTTATTTAATCTATGTATCTATGTTCAGCCAATAAATCTTTTAATAATCCATCCATGTTTCAGGTGGCAGAATCACATTAGATTGCACTTGACTTTATTAATCCACTCGTGTTTTGGGTGATGTTTTACTAAATAGATGCTGGGTCATGATCATCATTTTAGCCTTTTCCCAATTAATTAGGGTTGGCCACATGAATCATGGTTCTCCATTCTGCTCTATTAAAGGCCATATCCTCAGTGAGGATATAAGTCCTCATATCTTTTCAGACTACTTCCAAACATGTCCTTTTGGGCCTACCCCCCTTTCCCTTTTCAGTCCTTCCACTTGAACTAACTCACACCTCCTAACAGGTGTTTTACTTGGTCGGCGCCACACATGGCAAGCCCACCTATGTCTACTCTCTCTCATTTTATTGCCTATTCACACCTAAATTCTCTCGAATAGATTCATTTCAAATTCTATCCCTTTAAATACATGCCGAAAAAGTAATTAAGTTTTTTGATCCACCCATTTTTTGGGTAGCAGAATCAAATTAATTGATCAAACACCTATGTTTTGGGTGGTCAAATAAATTTATTAGGTGGTATTATAAAAGAGTTGGCAAAAAGCTACTTGAGTATCATAATTATCAAACCTGAGAAAGGTGACATCAACATGCTAGCCATCCAACCAAAACTTGCATTGATGATGTCACCTTTTACACACTAATGAAAATTTGATAGCTCGAACCATAAAAAATATAATTAAAATTAAAATACAAACAAAAAAAAGAACAAGCCTACATCTGCGTACTGCATGAGCAAGCTACCCAAAAGGTTTCCAATCAACGTAAAGTTGTAAACAGATCTAGGAGCAAAGGCCAAACAAGCTATAGAAAGATTTCCTCATCCATCTGCTCACCATAAAGTACGATAGAAGTCTAAACCCCACCCACGCATACAACTCATGGTAAAAACAATATGTACAATAAAATCCTATATTCAAGAAGATCACGAGCCTTCTCCATTGCATCAGGTTTCCTGGTTTCCTACTCTTAGCACGAGAGTTTATGGTCTTGTAGACCACTTAAATTCCATCTACATTTGGAAACCATACACAAAAATCTGGGCCTTCAAGCTCAACCTTTTAAGCCTAACGAATCAAGGCCCAGACCACTATTTTACAAAGGTATCCCATAATACTAGTGGGCGTAAAAGTCTCTAAAACTTATAGCAGCTTTATGTTCCAAAATAAATGCGTAAGGAGAATACATTTAGTTCCCTAAGTATTTTTCGTGCCCAATAAATTTGAACAACACCTCATCTAAGTCACCACAAATCGCCACCTTACAGAGAGAGGACAATAGCAAATGTGAAGTGAGTCATTCCTACTAGTCAAAATTAACAATAATTTCATCTCCTCATTTGATCTCATAAATCAAGATCGAAACAGGATTCGCAGAGAAAAATTGTTACTAAAGCTCCAGTATTAATTATGCTCGTTGTAGAAGTGCTACCGATTTCTAGTAAAACTAATCATTTTAAAGTCAGCTCCAGTACACCATGATCCCCTTTGCAACTGAAAGTGAGCACAACAAACTTTTCTACATAAACAGTATAATGGTTGTAGATCATAAACAAGATACATATGCACGACAACATACTAGAAACATGATAACAATTTTATTGAGGGCCAACTTATATACATGAAAATGCAAACATCACCACCGTAAATGTCAATATCATAAAGACATACGAGAACTTTTGCAGATAGATCTCTCTCTTATGAGATACATAGCACCCACCAAACACTTGAAACATATAGGCCTTCAATTCAGTGCTGAAAGCCAAAAAAGTAAATTCAATGAAGACAAATATCATTCCATCTCAGAAAAAAGAAGAAAATTTTCATTTTGCCTGAATTGTGATCTGTTTCAAGCTTCAACTTATATGGGCCTAGCTCAGTTCAAAGTTAGACCATTATCGATTACAGACTTTTTGGACCAAGATTGGCATACGTGAACACATTTTTTTTTTTTGGGATACAATTTCCAGCATATCATTATATTAATGAAATTACCAGCCAACAAATAATTCCTTCCAACATTTCACTAGAATATATTCTCAAACAAGGTAACAACAAGAGCATGCGAGAGAGAGATGATACTGCTCAAACATATAATTAAACCATATTCTCATTCTAATGAATATGTTTGTTCTCACATCAAATACTCAGAGAGAGAGAGATTCTAGTAATCAAGAGTTCTATTCATCCATGGATTCCACTCTAGAGAAGAAGGGAAAGAGGACGAGAAAGAGAGAGAGGGATAGAAAGAGTTCACAAAACAAGAAATGCACAGACTCACAGAGATTCGACAGGGGCGAACACTCTTATCGTGCTTAGATAGGGATATGTCCAGTTATTTAAGAAGTACTCTTGATCTCCATTACACTCTTGATTGGAGGGGCATAGAGAGTATAAACCACCGCTTGCCTCTTTGCCACTTCAAGCTGAGAATTCGCATCCAAAAAGGCAGAAGAAACAGAGGGAGCATCAGTTAACTTGGAATTTTGCCTGAACCCATCAATGGTTCTCCTCTTCATGTACTCTCTGATATTGTAATCCGGGAATTTTCTCGCCGTTTTCAATAAGCTTCGGAATAACCCTAAAATCTCTGTTCTCGACGGAGATGACATCTTATCAGAGACCAGATTATTCCTGTTTTGTAAAATTAGGGCAACTTTAGGGATCTCTCCGCTCCTCCAAATTCGCGGTTAGACAACTCAAATAGCGTATATTGAAAGCTCTCTTTGCTAATGTAAATACAAGGTCTAAGAGCTCTCTTTCCTCCACTAAATTTAGAGATTGAGAGCTCGGATAAGGGAAAATGAGAGCTCTCTTTGATGCCCTACCTTAGGGTTTGAGAGCTCGATTTCTCCTCCAAATTTAGGGATTCTGAGCTCTTTTAGCTCCTCTAACTTTAGGGTAAAGCTTCGTATCTTCCTGTGTCTGGTCTTTACAGAGAGAGGGAAAAAAATGATATGAAGACCCTCTAAAATTGGGGGCGAATCTTACTCTGTCTCTCCAGTATTAGGGTTAGAAATGGCTCCCTGCGTTTCAGTGGGATAGTATCAAAATGCTACCCTCAATCTTTTACCTTGGTCCCGCAAAAATTTAGCGGGGTTTCGGTGTGGTGCGCCGTGTACACCATACACCGTAGCTTTTGTCGGTTTACCATAATCACTATGCCGTTGTCTTATAGGCCAGCCCGGCCCGGACCAGTCTTATAGGGTCAAGGCTAGGCCAGGACGGCTAAAATAAAAGAATAAAATAAAATAAAAAAGCAAAAAATGAAGAGGATCGGCCCAAACAAGGCCCTCAAGCCACAAATTGTGGCCTAAGCCTACTTTGTTTGGGTTGGGCTGACCACGCCTAGACGGTCTTGTCAGCCCATTGCGTGCCCTACATGCATCATTGTCCCATGGTGTAGGACTTTACCCTATACCACTTCTAGTGTGGTAATTTCCCATTGGAAATAAATTGCAAATTCGTGTACGTTGTTTAATTAAATAGTTGCATTTCGTTTAACTTTCTTGTAATTTTTAGAGAAAATTATAAATTCCTTAATTTGTGCTTTATAGGCACGTTTTCGAAATATTTTTGGTACGACATTATTAATCCGAACACTATTTATTTTAGTGACCAAAATGCATCTCATTTTATTTTAAAATGCGATGCCCAACATATGGGCTTTTGACAAAAACTGCCTGTTCGATACAAAATGTGTCGGACGAGCTTTTGATATTCAATTTTTGTCGGTCTGGCATAAAATGTACCATACCAACTTATATTGAAACTATGTCGTGTGCCAAACTAGGTTTTATATTAAAGTTGTGTCGTGGCAAATGGGCTTAAATAGAGAAAGTGGGAAAGATGGATTAAAATTAGGACAGTTTGGCTAAAAAAATAGTCAACTTCTTTACTTAAAAGAGTGGATGTAAAAATAAATAATATTTTGATTAATAATGTGGTATCAAAAATATTTTGGAGATGGACAGGGAGGGAGGGTAAAAAATCCAATTTGGGGTATCTATGATTTTCCCTATATTTTATATATCTCTTTCTTGAAAGTAACTTAAATTAAGTTTTTGGGAGTTAAAAGCGCCGTATCTGAGCTTGTGATTGGTCAACACAACACATTGTTATGGTTCAATGTGTCCACTCAAACTTGTCCAACTTGGAATCGCCACCAAGCAAACCAAGTTACCCCGTGTCAATTGATAGGACTCGGGTTATATTATACAAGGGAGAAGTTTATATGGAGCCAAGGCTCTAAACAATCAAATTAGGGTCTGCCTCAAAATTTTCATTAGAAGATATTGTTTTGATGCTCAAATATCCTCAAATTGATCATATCTACGTGAAAATACATGGACATGAGAAAAAAAATGGATTTCAAATTTTGAAAATTGCGTATTTTGTAATGTATTTTTGGACTGTCAATTTTCAAGATTTTCATAGACCGGTCGATGTACACTATTTTTTAAGCTTTAAACTTTACAAATAAAGATGAAAATATATTTTAAGGCTATCACAAAGATTTCCAATGTTGATACTATTTGAAGGTAGGCTCTAATTTGATTGTTTAGAGCTTAGGCTCTATACAAACCACACCCATTATAAAATAGAAAAAATTATAAATATATATATATATATATATATATATATATATATATATAATAAAGAGTAACGGATACTATGAGACCCTCCCACACCCATGTGAGTAGGATTCCAAATGATTACCATTCAATTTTGACATAGATCTTTAGAAAAGTTATCGAGAAATCCATTCACCCAAGTCCCACACCCATGTGATAACTTTTATAGAGATCTGTGTCAAAATTTAACGGTGATCCTTTGAGGTCTTACTCATATAGGTGTGGAAGGGTCTCAAAGTGTCATTGTTCATATAAAAATGGGGATGTATAAAAATTTTATATGTAATTTGGATGTTATTGGTAAATACCTTTTTTTTTTTTTACCATATGCCTTTTTTTATCTTTTAAAATGTCCCCGATTATAAATCATTTTAATAAAAAATCATATTTTAGGCTACTTTAGACTCTTTAAGTTGTTTTGGGTTATTTGAAATTTGCAAAATTTTGTTTTTAACATTTTTATTTTCTTATTTTCAACTTGCCCAAGTAACTCTTGGGCAAGTACTACATGGCTGAGTACTTGTTCCAAGGTGAGTCTTGAAACACAGGTTCAATATTTGTGTTTGTTAGTGAGTTGGGGCGAGTTTAAATTGTTTAAATTCAAATTTTGCATCTAAAAATGAGTAGGAATAGTTGGATATATCAAAATGCCCTCGTGGTCTTTCACCATGGTCATGGCAACTATAGCTAACCGACCCTACATGTTACAAACTGTTAAATCTTTTTAAAATTGTAACATAATTGTAACATATGTTGTCTTTTCCAACCACTCCTACATGCTCAATTGTAGCTACAGCGGAGGAAAGTGAATTCTAAATATTTAAAAGGCCCATTTTTTTTTATTGAAATCTTGTTCAAGTGCAAAACTTTGTTTTAGTGAGTATTCACCATTGTTAACCAACAAAGTGAAAATTCTCAGGTTATGTTTAGACTTTTTCTAGCATTACTTGTTAATTTCCTCTCCTAAGACAACCACATGTGAATTTTGGCAAATTAGTTTTGAAAAAGTATATAATGAGACCATTTAATTTTTTACATAGATATTGTAATTAATCTTGACCATTGGATGTGAAATTGAGTTGCTACATTTATTCTTTTGACTGGACTCAAAAAACAAATTTTCTTGAACTCTATGATACATCTAAACTGTCAGATTTTGCATCGAATAGTATATAGGTAATTGTGATATCCTTACACCAATGATAAATTGTCTTATAGTTGACAATCCCTTTAATATGTCAAATACAATGGAAATACTAACGACTTTATGGCCGCCCATTCAAACACAACCAAAAGGATTTCGAATCCAAGCTCTGTATAGGTCAAGTTTTGTATTTTGCAGCACACAAATCCAATCACTGATTAAATGACCCACTAGAATTTGGGCTTGAGCTTTAGTTGTTAGGAGTGGACATCAACCGACACTACATCACAAGTTTGATTCCCACCACTAAAAAGAAAAAGACAACTTTGGCTGCAAGTGGCGCTCACCTGTATCTACTTGGTTTGGACTCCATCTAAACACCTCTGAGTTTAGTACTTACCTGTACTTAGAAACTCTATACTTATTTTGGTTAAAACTCGACTGTAACTTATGGACACTCTATACTTATTTTTTGACTAAGTATAGAGTGTCCATCAATTTTAAATGTTGTAAGAAAGCATTTGGACGGTTAGTTTCGATTGAGTTTAGATGGACCACATATTTGCATCATTCTTTAAGATGGATGCTTTATGCTTCTGGACCGCGCATGTCAAAATGCAGTCCAGCCCGCATGAAAAAAATTTTCGAAACTTATTGTTAGAATTTGGAAAGTTAGTTTGCTAAGAGTCATCTTGAAATTTATACAAGCCAAGGTCTCGTTGTGATTAAATTGGTGAAGGCAAACATCGTCCTGGTTATAGTAGTATTGTTATTATGTTGCAGCGAATGAATGCTTCGAAGGTAATTCATCTCAATCAAGACCATGTGCTGAAGATTAACCTTGTAAGACAGTATTGAGGCTTTAAATGACCCTAAAACCAGCATAATATCCTGAGAGTAAATGCTCTTTTTCCTCCCACAAAAGTATATTGTACATTCTCATCTCCAATCTCTGTGCACTTGAAACACCAATTCAAAAAGTTTCTATCAATTAATTTTCTTTGTTCACCTAATACTTATGTTTCAGTGCAAGTTTCTCTCTCGAAGCTAGTTATTCATTTTTAATCCTACTTTATTATGCAATTACTGTTTCGGAAAACTGATTGGGATGAGGAAGCTCAAATGGCTCGAACACGGCTTCAGCTTGATAGATTCAAGGGAAATTATAAAAAACATGCTATAATTTTTTGAGTATTAAAAATAAACCTCTCCAAAACCTCATCCATACATATTTTCTTCACTTCTTGCTGTTTTTTTTTTTGGACAAAATTAGCATTCATTCGTAATCTTAGAATTGTGAAGACATCACGGTAGACTCACTGTTGTGGTGAACATGGGCGATTTAATGTTTTGAGGCATCACGACACTTAAAAAGCCGTGATGGTCATTAAGAGGCATCACGACCTTAAAAAACTGAGATGGTCATTAAGGGTTCTTATTCCCCGTGACAGTTAAATTAGAGCCATGATTGTCCAATAAACCATCACGGTTCTTTAAGTGTGGAGATGCTTCAAAATTACATTTGACTTACAATCCGTAATTATGCCTTCACGGTTTTTAATAAACCGTGACGCCTTCACGGTTCTAAGACTACCGTCTACTCATCCAAAAAAGAGGTATGAATGAGGTTTGGAAAAGTTTTAAGTTTATTTCTAATAATAAAAAAATTAAAGTATATTTTTTATAATTTTCCTATATTCAAATGTCAAAAGAAAATAAAGAGAAAAAACCAGTCCCAGGACTAGATTTGTAGCCCAACCTTCATTTTTTAGGGCTGACAGCAGGGTAGGTTGCTCAGCCCATTGCGAGCCCTATGATTCAAGCTAAAGTTGCTAATATGGCAGGCCCAAGGCAAGCCCCCCGAGCCTCCTCCAAATTTTTGACAAGCCAAAAACTAATTTTTTTTGAAAAAATCTAGTTAGAGACCTGCCAAGAGCATTTTGATATATCTATAGAGCCCATGATATCAATTTAAAAGATAGAACTTCATCTTCCCTTTCTTTTCTTTTTTTTTCTTTTTTTTTTTTTTCTCTTTTTTTTTTCTTTTTTTTTTTCCTGAACTTTAGAAAATGTCCACAACAATAAGCCCATTTTTCTTAGATTTAGGAATTTATGATTTTTAGATACGGGGTTTAATTGAGAGACGGGAAAAAAGAGATGGGGGGTAAAGAGCACAATCTATTTTTAATACATTATTGTTCTAATTTTTGAGAGTCAAGAAAAAGATCGAGAGGTCGTGATCGAGAGAGAGAGGATCAAAGTAATTATTTGTTTTCTTATATTTTGTGTTTATGCTTAATATCAACTATTATAGGTATGTTTATGGGAAATACCCATGAGGGATGTGCAATATGTAACACTTTTGACATTGGTCACCATTCCTACTCATGATCTACTCATGATCTAGTGTTTTTTATGGATATTTTGCAATTAAATCAAACTATATAGGAAAAGTGTTGAATAGTTAATCTCTTACATGTATTATTGATAAATTTCCCTATATTATATCAGGGAAAAGGAAAATCCTGTATATGTCTTATATATTTTTGTAGTATTTGAAAAATATTATTATTTTCAATATCTTATATCATTCCTCATTTCTCTCTTGATATTCCTTCTTTTCTCAAAATACTACTTCCGGTTCATAGCTTCCAACTCCGAATATTGCAAAACATATAGGATAGTTACAAAAAAATTTGAATGAAAATTAAGGAAAAGTCCATCCACAATATTACTATTTTAACAAAAAGACCTCTTATTTATGTTTTCCATCAAAGTCCAAATTTTATGTACATTTTTAATTGAAAAATTGTTTCATGCTGGCTGGACTGCATTTTTACAGTATGCAATCCAGAGGTATAAAGCATCCACCTTAAAGATAAATGCAAATAGGTGCCCATCAATCTAAAAACAATTGTAACCAATGGTCCAAATGTTTTTTAATATACTTATTATTTATAGTTTTTTAATTTTATTTTCATATTCATGATCTCCATATTAAAGTTTATATATTCTCAAAAAATTAAGATCAAATTATATTTATAAAATATATTTATTGACAGGCCCGCATTTCTACAATATGCGGTTGGCCGCATAGAAACTGTATCCTTTTAAATTTGATTTCAAACTACGTCTTTTTTTTTGGATATGAAATGCATATTTTTACATGAGACCTAAGTTTGAGATATCAAGGTCAAATCTCATATTAAAAAAGAGACCGGGCTTTATTGGCTTGCGTCAAATATTTTGCTGCAATGCTATATCCTAGACTCGATTCCTACCAATGGTAGAGGTCCTCTTCCCACTGACTCGCCCAAAAAAAAGGTCAAATCTCATATTTTGAGTGATAAGTCTGTTTGGAACTTAAACTTAGGCACCCATTTTTTTTTAAAAAAAAAATAGGAGTTATCAGCTCAAAAACCATTGTAATTCTCTTTTATGAAATGAGATTGTATATAATAAGACCATTTTACCTTTGGTACAATGAAGTCACAATTACTTATAACTATATGATGTAAAATCTGATAATATGGATGTGTCATAAAGTTTGAGAAATTTTATTTTGAACTTTGAGCCTGGTCAATGAAATAGATGTAACTACCCAATTTCACATCCAATGGTCAAAATTAATTGTGACCACCACAAAGGTAAATAATCTCATTATATACTATCCCATTGTGAAACGATGAGTCAGAAATTTCAAGTTTTTTGATAAATGACTTGAATTTTGCTTTGGGTGGCAATGAAACCAGACTAGTACTGAATCGTCAAGTTGGGTATGGACGAGGTTCAATAACTCATCGGCTAGTTTGGACGATTCAGTACTAGGGATGGCAATGAAACCAGACCCAACTTGAGACCCAAGGGCTAATTCTGGTGGGTCCAAAACATGGACCTAACAGGTTGGATCTAGGTCCAAATCTTGAATCTGAATAATATTTGGGTCCGGGTCTGGGTCCAATGATATTTTTTGGTCTCAATATATAAAATATATTTAAATCTAGTTAAATACATATATATTTTAATTTTGGCTGTGATTTGTATAGAGCCTAGGCTCTAAACAATCAAATTAGAGCCTACCTTAAAATAGTATTGAGAAATGTAGTTTCAATATTAGAAATATTTGTGACAGCCTTAAAATATATTGTCATATTTATTTATAAAGTTTAAAGCTTAAAAAAATAGTGGAGATTGACATATTTATGAAAACTTGAAATATGACGGTCCAAAAAAGCATTACAAAATATGTTGTTTCCAAAACTTGCAATCTATTTTTTTCTCATGTTCATGCATCTTGATGTTGAGATGATCAATTTGAAATTATTTGAGCATCCAAACAACCTCTTTTAGTGAAATTTTTGAGGTAGGCTCAAATTTGATTGTTTAGAGTCTCGGTTCTATATAAACTTTTCCCTTTAATTTTTGAGTCGGAGCCGGAACTTTGTTTGGGTATATGGGTCTGACCCGACCTGTTGCCTCCACCAGTTCACAAAGCCCTTGCTGCGTATGGGTGCTTTTCGTCACATTCAAATGGGGTACTTTGGTCTTTATATTTTACCCCAGTAAAGAGTACGAGGACTTCCTTTTAACAGAAACTATAAATACTAAGCATGTAATTGTGCTCTGAAACTCACTTCTTCGATCGTCTCATTACTCACTATTCATGAAAAATCGAGATTTTCCATGATTTTTTTGTCTATTTATTTTCATGGTACCAAAATTCATTGATCTCTTCTCAGTGAGCTGATTTCATGTGATTTCGTGCTTTTTAAATGGCTTCATCATCTGGCCTTTTCGGTTCTCTTCTCTGCTTCGCGCTGGTGCTCAACCTCTGCAACTGCAAAACCTTAAAAAGGGATGGTAAATTTGAAACCCTACTTTTAGTTTCTTCTTAAATGTGTATGAAGCGCTTGGATTTCTTGTGTTATGTAGCTTTTGTGTTTTTTGATGGATTAGGGTTTAATGAAGTCGGAAATTGAGGTTAATTTGTGATAGTAATACTATTTATTTCAAATTATTTTTACTGTTTAAGCTTTGTTTTTCCCACGATCTTTGATGCTGTCATTGTCTCATGCATTTAGAAACTGGATCTGAGGGTGAAGCTTAGAGGTCAATGAACTAGCGTCTTGGAAAGTCTCAAAACGAGGTTATTTTTGTAATTTAGTCCACTAATAATTCAGCTTCTTCTTCTGTTGTGTTCAATTTTTTCCCTGCATTTGTAACTGAGATTTTGACGCAATTTTTTTGCATTTTGTGATATTAATTTCAGTCTTTTACTGTTTATTCCCGTATTTTGTGATCTGATATTATTTTAGATTATGTTGTGAAGCTTTCATGTGGTTTGGAAACTGCACTTTTTATGAATATGGCGCGATGAAATTTAGTGGTTGAAACCTTTTGTATAGGTCACTTGTGTTGTATTTGCTGCTCACTGCTTTGTTTGGGTTCCTGTTTCTGAATTCGTGGCTGACTATGTCTTTTTATTCAATATGGATTAGGTTTTGTTACATATTAAGAAATCAGGGATAGATATTTTAATTCTATTCCCCTTCTTTTGATTTCATGGTTTCAAATTGTGCCAGGGTCTTATTTATTTCTATGATTGGTTGTTTAGAATTTATAAGTAGCTTGCAATTACTTGTTCTTAACTATCGAAAGCTTATTGATAAGTTGAGATGGTGGTTCATGAAGCACTGCAGCTTGACTTTGGCTATAAAATTTTCAACTGCGTTGTAATTTTCCAATACATGGTGGAGTGTTTCTAATAAATTGTTACCTATATGGCATGTACAAGAACAAGTTTTGGATTTTGTCGTAATTTCATAATTATTGAACTGTGTTTGAGAACCTTCAATGCTTATATTTGTATTTCACATATTTCCTTTATCTTCTCTAATTCTTCTCACGATTTGTTAAATAGTAAAGAAATTCATAAACATGATGATGGTTCTGGCTGTAGTGAAAGCATTGAATGAAATCAAGGCATCTCTTGGCTGGAGGGTTGTGTATGCATGGGTTGGAGATGATCCTTGTGGAGATGGTGACTTGCCACCATGGTCTGGTGTGACATGCTCTAGTCAAGGTGACTATAGGGTCGTGACAGAATTGTAAGTAATTTGTGCGTGTTTGTTTTCTTTCTCTTTTGTCTATTTAATTTTTGTGAATTATTTTTTGGATATTTTTATTAGATTCTCCTATTTTTTAAGAACAGACACTCCAAATTTCAAGCGATTTGGATTTAAAATAATAATAATTAAAATTCAAATACGAAATGCAATCATGACCATTAGATCAGCCTAGATTCAATCCGGGACATTGAGCGTTTACGTTAGCTGTCAGCTAGCGGGCTAACCTCAAACTCTCCCATGTTTGAAGTGTACTTATCTTTCTAATGTTGTGCACTATTTGGATCATAAGATAGAGCTATCACTCTTTTTTCTTTTCTTGTGTTTTTTATTTGATTCAGAAGGCCAATTTCATGCCTAATAGATTGAGATATAAAAGAAAGGAAGACTGTAAGAAAAGTATTGTGGGGAAGTTACAAAGCATCCAGTGCAGAATGTACTCCATTAGATTATGGTTTCACATCATTAAACTGAGTCCCCATATAGTGAACATCTTGTGAGCAAACTATATTTAACTGCTGGTCAGCAAACTAATGCAATAGTTCTCTCGCTAGTGAACAATGAATGCATTTGACATGTGTTAACTATTTGAGTTATTGAAAAAGAAAAAAGAAATATGTTAGCTATTTGAATAGAATGATTATTTTTGCAAGCGAACTAATGCGATAGTTGTGAGAAAAAAGACTTCAGGGGTCATTGTTGGGATTGTATTTTATGGAAATAGGGCAAAGTTGGAATTATTAAATTTTAGTTTAGATAAGTAAATATTTATTGGAGATTGATGTAGTGTATGCTAGCTAAAATGTGAAGACATTCAAAGCTTCATACTATAGTGGCATGGAAACTTGGTTATTTGCATATAAATGGAAGCTTGTATTTCTTGCTTAAATTGTACTGAATCCAATTTTTATTTTTTAAGTTTTGAGAGGTTTGTTAATTTTTCCACTTATTAGCGTCATTCAGTTGGTCGTTATCAATTGTCTATACCTTTTCTAAAAAGGTTTGCATATACCTTTCAAAAGAATGTGATTAGTGGTGCATTGTATATCATGCGTTTTTTTGGTAAACAAGAATGCTTATTGGTGTTCATTTTTAATTTTTATTCTTTATTATTGACAGGGAAGTTTATGCAGTTTCCATAGTTGGCCCTTTCCCTATTGCTGTGACGAACCTTCTGGATTTGACTAGACTGTAAGGATTCTTCCCTGCATGGACAGTACATAATTTTATAAATGCAATGCTTAAGAGGAATATGCTAATTTTGGTAGTGTGCTGCATAAGTACCTTTTAGTTTCTCTCAATTTCTATGACATAAACATCAAGAGTCTTTGTCTCCCTGGTTTAGTCTCGGAAAGATATCTCCATATCACCTATTTTTAAGATTCATATCTTGACAAACCCAAGGTTTCAAAAAATATCTTTTGACGCCCCGACCACTTTAAACCTATTTTTAACCTAAATAAATGTGAGAAAGATATGCTCTTTCTAAACCCAATCTTTTCTCTCTCTTCAGTTATATACTCCAAACTTCTCTCTTTCTCTCTCTTTATGTGTTCTCTCATTCTTTCTCTTCCTGTTTTCTCTCATTATCTCTCTCCTCCTGTGTTTCTCCCAACACCTCTCTCTCTCCTTCTGGCAACCTCTCACCTCCATGAAACCCTTCTCTCTCTAGAAGTTTGGGAGGATGACTTTTAGAAAAGGCATGTTTTTTTAGATTTATTTGGCCTAAAAAAACAAGTTTTAAATAACTCAGGGGGAAGAAATTAAATGTACAATTTTTATGCCCCAAGATATCTTTTAAAACCTTGGGTCTATTGTGAAATGAAACTTAAAAATAAGGGGCATAAAGATATTTTTCCGTTTAGTCTCTATCTTTTTCTTTAAGATACTCCAAGAGCTTCAATGACGGGTGACTCCTATTTACTATCCTTGCACTTGATATTTCCATGTAGTTATCTTATGGGGGAAGAAAATGTCTGAGATGCTTCTTTTTTCATTAATTTTTTATTTTTATATTTTCATAAGTTCCTCTCCTTTCTCATTGTTAATTTTCTTTGCTTTTCATGTTTTTGGGTAATTGTTTTATATTTGATTTATTGCTTTAAGGCGGTTTCTTGGGGACATCTATGATGCCCTATTAAACAGTGTTATCTATCTGCAATTTCTTACAATGTCTTGAAGAAGAATTGTAACAAACTGAGACCCCAATTTATTTGCTTTATTTTAAATTTTCTAACATATCCCAAATTAGTTAGCTTGATACTTCTTCAAACACATTTGGTATAAGTGAATTATTTTTCGTAGGATATTCATCTAAATACCCATGGGAGATGAATTATTTAGCATTCTATGCATGTCTTTTCATTTATTTTCAAAATACCCATCAAAAGACATATGATCATGACTTGGAAGAGTTGCAAATGGGTAAAATATTGAATCCCATTTTTCATTTATCTCATGTTTTCTATTACCAAACCTTGTTTGCGACATTTGTTTTCTGATTCTATTTCTGAGTATTCCATAATCCCGAGTAGGATTATGGAAATGATGGATGGCACCTACCGTACTATTGGGTTTCACTCTCCCTTAATCACCTCTTATATTTGAAATGGACATTGAAGACATTTAAGAGTTTATAATTTTTCCCATAATCGGTGGGATTGTATTAGAGTGCTTTTCCTTCACTCTGCAATCTTTTTGGTTTTGCTATGTTGAGAGTACGTTACACAACAACTTGGTTCTTTTGACCTTTTTTTTGTTCAGTTGACTAATATAGACCTTGTCATTCACAAATTTATTTGTGATGGACAAGTTTGCACAAAGTTGACAAATGCAACTCTGCATTAAAATATGAGGGTATGTACTCAATTTATGTTTAAAAACGATGTACAACATGTCCCATAGTGGTTCACTCTCTGATTTACCCTCTATCCTATTTCTAATGGATAGTCCAAGAGCATCAATGAGGAATTACTCTCATTTGTTATCCTTGCACTTTGATTTTTCCATGAAGAAATCTTATGGGGAAGAAAAGTGTTCTGCGATGCTTCTTCTTGTTTCGTTTATATCTATGTGTGTGTGTCTGTGCCCGTGCCCGTGTGCTTGTGAGCTGTATGAGTGCATGTGTGTGTATTTCCCTTTCTTTTATTTTTATTAAATTTATCTTCTTTTTCATATTTGCGTAATTTTTCTGTTTATCATTATTACTTTAAGAATGTTTCAGGGGATCTATGATAGCATACTAAACTGTGTTATCTAATCGCAAGCTCCTAGAAAGCCCTGTAGAAGAGTTGTAACCAATGTGAGGTCCAATTTGTTAAATCTTCAACTGATTTAGAATGTTCTATAGATGCATTCACAAGGTTCTTTCTTGGTGCTTGAGGTCAAGATTCTTATGGAGATTTATCTGTCTTTTTAATAGTTGTTGCAGCATTTGATATTTGCTGTCTGTAATGTGAAAAATGTTATTATACATTTAAAAAAAAGAAAAGAAAAAGGTAAATGCTATTATTATGTGGCACTCAGTTTTTAACTATAAATAATCATGATGCCTTTATCTGCCTCCTTTTCTTTCTTTCAAAATTGCTTGGTAAAAAATATCAAGAGATGTATTATTTGACTTTGTTTTAAATCATTTCATATACTGAGAAGGAATTGTTCATTAGGGCTGAGATATTGATGTCATCCTCACCCTGAGTTCAAATTCAGTGCATGCATAATATATATTTCATTGTCTTTGAATAACAGGGATTTCCATAACAACAAGTTGACGGGGCCAATCCCTCCACAAATTGGAAGACTTAAGCGCCTCAAAATATTGTATGCCTCCGCACTGTCTTGTAGTGCACTTAACTTGTAGAGTATCTTATTTCCGGCATAATAGCGAACATTATTCATACTGATGCTTCTATATACTGTAAGAATTTTCATTTTCTTACTTGAAATTTTCTTTCATAAACTTTATTCTTGTTTTATCGTGTGGATTGGCCATCTTTACATGATTCTGATTTGAGGCAAGTAATTTAATGTATTTGTTAAAAAACATTAAAGAAATTAAATATATGGCAATTTGTCAAAATGCACGTAAGAGATAACTATTTAGCATTTTTTCCTTTTCTTTTGATAAAATTTCAAAAAGCCTGTCAAAATACACATGATAATGAGTTAGAATAGTTTAAAATGGGTAAAATGTTAAAAATGTTGACTAGTAGATAAAGGAGACACTGTCTTTGAGACCTCAAATACTGTGGAGGGATTATTCACCTTGACAACCTCCATATCATTTAATGCTTGTGCACGAGTCCACATGCATTCATGAATGAATGTTGTGATTTGACTTGCAAGTTGTGCGTATGCAAGGAAGTTATGGGGTTTAATTAGTGGTTTGGTTCCTCACCCCCAAAAACGAAAAGAGAAAAGACATGCCTAGAAATGTTTTAGTTCATCTGTTTATATTATTCGAATTGATCTCATGTCCATCAGAAACTTGAGGTGGAACAAGCTACAAGATGTGATTCCTCCAGAAATTGGTGAACTTAAGCAGCTAACTAGTCTGTAAGTTCTCTTCATTGCATTTCATTGGAATTTTCAAATTTTTAATGAGATCTTTCCTAATCTTTAACAGCAACATTTTGCAGATACCTGAGCTTCAACAATTTGAAAGGAGAAATCCCAAAGGACCTGGCCAACCTTCCTGAGCTTCGTTACCTTTATCTTCATGAGAATCGCCTGATTGGACGTATTCCTCCAGAATTAGGAAACCTCCCAAATCTTCGCCACCTGTATGTCCAGTCTTTTTTTTTTTCTGGTTGTTTGGTTTGGTCTGGCTTATCTTGTGCCTGTAAAATGAAACGATTGCTTTTGATCCTTCTTTGAGTTAAATGGGTGTCTGTTTCGTTTTCAGAGATGTTGGCAATAACCATTTGGTGGGAACTATAAGGGAGCTTATTCGAGTAGAAGGCGGCTTTCCCAAATTGCGTAACCTGTGAGTGGGTGCTGGAACTAGAATATGAGGATTATCTCTCTCTGGTGCACTCACATTTGCATGCTCTCACTCGCTCTTAGATAAAAATTTATTTAGTGTCTAAATAGTTATATGCGTTGCCCTTAATAGAGCAGAATGACGAACCAGGATTTGTGTAGCCAAACCCTATTAGTTAAGAAATGGCTCTGACAATGATGATGATGATGATGATGATGATGAGATAGTTATATAAGTTATGAACTTTCTACTTGCCAAGTTTAATTAGGGAAACATATAAAAGTTACACAAGACTGTAGTTGCTTTGAAATCTTGATGCCAAAAAATCTTCCCTACTTACAACCATAGTTGCTACGCATGCATACTGAGCTGGTCACTCGATCTATGGGCAAAATGTTCCTTAAAACCACAATATTGAATGTTCGTGAACTTAAAAATAACTCCTGTTTGCAAGTTTAACTGTGTCAAACTTGGAAATTCCATTGGCACTTGCGTTTATCTTTTATTTATTTTATTTACTTTCTTAGACATGCATGATTCTTGGATTTTTGTTTTCCTTGGGAATCCATATGACAACCAAAATATCTTATGTTTACACCTAGTACCAGTTTATCTGGCACATTTGGAGTTAAAAAGAAGCCTATCAGCAGACTTGGAAGAAATGCTTCATATTATTCATGACAGAAATATGAAGTCTTCCTATCGCTCGTTGACATGGCTCACATGTCCAAACCAACACATGAATATCTAGCATTCTGTCTGGATTGTTTGCTTGATATGCTTTTGTAAACTCAAAATATGCAAAATGCATATCCTTCTTCATTCTGTAAATTTTGTTTCTAAGCTAGTAGCTTCCTAAAATGAAGTCTTGCTTTGAAGTGGAAATCAATTGTGCATGTGTTCTTAAGAATCCTTGACACTTCTCTAAAGAATCCTCGATCAAGTGTCAAGACTAAGGAGAGGACTGCAAAATTCTTTCAATATGCTTCTAAAACTGAATTGCATTTGTTTTTAATTGAAGTTATATTTCGAATCTATTAATACTTGTGAGTTTTATGTCCCCAGGTACCTCAATAACAATTATTTGACTGGCGGCATACCCACCCAGCTTGCAAACTTAACTAATTTGGAGATTTTGTAGGTGCCGTTTTTCAAAAATCAAAATTTGATTGCCATCCATTTATTTACTTGAGTTCTTTACTTGAGTTCTTTTCTTGAGCTCCATTATTTTGCTTAGACTTTAGTATTTTGGACAAAATTAGTGATCTTGCTCATGTGACATGATTATCTCATTTTGGTTTAGGTATCTTTCAAACAATAAGATGTCTGGACCAATCCCAGCAGGGCTTGCTTCTATTCCTCGATTAACTTACTTGTGAGTCTTTGTCTTACCTTGTCATTTTATTACTTGGAATTTCTGCTATATTTAGTTGATGACTTTATCCTCATACTTGCTATAATAGGCTGTAAGAAAGTGTGTACAAAATAAAGCAAAAACATGTTGTTGTTAAGCAACAACTATTTGATTCAAGTATCAAACAAAGAAAGCATGTGTAGGTACTCAATATTTATGTTTAAGCTATACAAATCAGGACAAGTTCCCTATTTAAAGTCAACTTCCTCAACACTCACACACACATGCACACAAAAAAAGACATGTTCACCATTGGAAGTTGTAAAGGCTAGAACATGTTCACTATTGGGAGCTGTAAAGGCTAGAATGAAGGTTTCTTTTCGCTGCAGCAAATAGGAACCCCATTCTAGAAAGAGAATAAAAGTATGGTTAGCATAGATTTATGGGGGTTCTACTAAGCATGAAACGATCACATCTGAGCCAGAATCTTTTCTATTTTCTTTAATTTATTCAATGGTGATTGATATCTATACTGATTTCACATTTTCTATTACTTGAATCAAGAAATGTATTCATTGTTCCTTCGCTTGATTATATACTGGACTATTGACATGGTAACAATTTATGTGAAAGCTACTGAAATTAATTGCCTGTTGGATGTTCTCCCTTCTGGTATTCCTCCTCTTGGTATTAGGACCTGATATTCCCCATGCTTGTCAGTATGGTTTTCTTTTGGTGTCAGGGACCGACAATTGTTATAAGCTTGCCAGTATGCTTCGTTGCCTGTGTTGGAAAATTGAGCCACAATCTTTTCTATTGTCTTTAATTTTTTTTGTTTTTTTGTACCCAGACGAGTCTCTAAAAGACTCAGTCTAACCTGTGGGGCCTGACTTAGGCTCGGGACCCTTACGAGTCTTCACTTGAGTCCTTGTTTTAACATAGTTCATGACAACCTCAAGTTCTTAATTATATTTTAATTTTAGTAGGATCAATGGCGATTAGAGATGATTGATGAGGTTGAAATTGTTTTAGGGTTGGGTATTATGGTCTCCTTGTATAAGGTGTATAAACTAAGTCCTTTCAGAGTGGATGGACTGTTGCTACTGAGAGTTTGCTTTTTGAAGTTTCTTTAGGATTTCTTGTTTTTGTGTTCCAACTTAGGCAGAAACATGGGATCTTTGATTGCAATTCGAAGGAGGAACTTCTCAGGAAGTAATGCCTTTGGTTATTTCCTAGAAAAGAGAAAGTGAATACTGGTTGCATGCCCCCGTGTGCGTGTGCGTCTGCATGTGTGTGTGTGTGTGTGTGTGAGAGAGAGAGAGAGAGAGAGAGAGAGAGGAGGAGTGAGTAGTAGTAGGTTACGGTACTTCGTTAGGTAAGTAAGTTGGTTAGGTTAGTTCGTACTTACTTAACTAAACGTACGGAGGGACGG